TACCTATTTTTAATTCAATCTCCCACTTTATTCTACCAATCTAACCATGTCTGTCTTTACAGATATAATTCTCTAAAGAATTATGCTTCTCCTTAATTTTTATAAGCTTCATCCTCACTTTTCTATCAGCATACAGACTTTTCCTGAGTTGGCTCTCTCTTAACTCCAGCCAGGATTGCATAATTTCTCTGAATTCTTCAGCTCGTGGAAAGTCTCCTTACTCTTCATTTCTAGGCTTCCTATCTCATTTATTGCACTCTTTCTAGATGAGCTTCTATATTTTAATAAAACGTTAGCTTCCATCTAGATCACTCTCTAATTCTTACCACTCTGCTGCATGGCAGCATACATGGAATTAAGCAAACAACTCAGACATTTTCCTTCTGAAATTGCACAGACCAGAAAAACCTGGTAGGGTAATGAAAGCAACACAAATCTTGAGGCCAAAATGACTGGTGTTCTAATCTAGGCTTCATCATTTATTACCTTATGACTAGGAACAATCATTTGTTCACAGGAAAATTATTTCTATTTCCTGGGTTTGTTGTGAGGATTAAAGATCTTGATGGAATTAACCCAGTGCAACACTTGGTACACAGCAGTAGTTCAATCAGTGGCAGATGGGATTAGTGTTACATTTCTGCCAAATGTTCCCCTCACTCAACTTTATGGTGTTTCAGATAAAATTATTAAAATTGTTTTATTAGTATATTAATAGAAATCTCTCTGTGTCTCTAGTTTCGGTTTGTCCATTTATCTTAATCCCAAATTACAAACACATCATTGACCTCAAGATACTCCAAGAAAGCTGCATTTCTCTTCCGTTGTTTTATTCAAGCAAACTTTAGACAGTGCCTCTCCCTGTGATCCTAAGTGCCACCCTGCTGATCCTAAGTAACCCCTGAAGCAACAAGATTAATTGACAGTAATAAAATTCATGACCTGATAATGTAACTCAGCTGTGTTTTTCCATACAAGAAAACATTAGATAGTATTTATCAAGTTGAATCTAACTCATATAAAATCGGTAACACAAACTAGCTTGTCCTGCTTTCAACGCACATCGACTTAATGCTACTCAATAACGATAATGGCCATTTTTAGGAAATTCATTAACAGGTGAAAAGTAACTTACTAAACAGCAAATTGTTTCTTTTAAAAAGATGTAAAAAAGTAAAAACACTTTGAAAAAGTTGAAGAAGAATGAAAGGAGTACAGAACCTTCTATGAGTCACTAGGAAATGAAAAAATTTTGAAACTTCATGATGCCCCAAGAGTATTAAAGCTACCCAAAGTAACAAAAAAAGTTAGTGCAAAACATGGAGACATCAAAACAAAGAGAGAAAATAATTTCAGAAAAAATACAAAAGCTGCCTCACTGAACCTTTTATTAGGCTTATCATTCAAATCAGAATAGAAAAAAAGATATGCCAAATATTCATCATTACTTCAGTATGACTTACCTAAGATGTACTATGTTTGCAAAACATAAAGAAAACGTAAAGTCTTAAAAAAAAATCCGTTATTTGTTGAAGAAGTAAAATTAGTCAAAGTTGGATAGTTTATGACCTAAAGTCATTTCAATCTAAGGGGGGAAAAAACCAAAACAAAAAACCTGTGATCACACACTTGTATTGTTTAAGTCTTTTATTGACACTATGTATTTTAATATTCAGTTTGAACAAGTCTTGAGTATATCAAAATTACTGTAAAATAAGTGTAAAAATAAGTGTAATTATGATTAGCTTTCACTATTAAAAAGGATGACAATATTGGTGGCATTACTGACAAACATAGGTACCATCCTATCTCTGTTTTTTTGATTTCCTTCTACCTACCTGAAGAGGTCGCCAAATTTACTTCTGAGGTGGCTGCATGACACATAGAGATCATAGAGGTAGGCTAAGATGCATCTTTCAGGGGAAGAACATTCTGAGGGGTTTACAACATGCTTTACCACACCACACAACCTGAGGAGAAAAATGGATGAAAAAATTAGACACATTTATTGCTAATATACATGTTATCATTCAAATCTTTTAGAGTGAGATTACGAGTATGAATTACTTGGGTAAGAAAAAAGATATCAGATTGTTAAAACTAATCCTCATATTAAATAATGAATAATTAAATAAAATATCAGTTTTCTATTATGATACTGAAATGCTAGATATTTTTTAAAATTTCAGAAATGTCACTGACAAGAAGAAACAAAAGCAATGAAAAAATTTCTCTATGTAAAACCCCTTCTTTTCAGTGACATTCTCTATAGCTCCTTTTGTTCAGAAGTACCATTACTACAATTCCATGCCATTTTCCAACAATCAGACTGTGCCTCTTTGTCCACACATCAAACAACAAAGAAGTGCACGTAGCACTGAAGTAAACGCTAGCAGTGTTTACCACCACCGCCATCATGTCTTCTATTACAGGGATCAGCCATAACGCTACACCAACAGTGTCGTAAATGACTCAGATTATTAAAGCTGAAAAGGGCTTTGAACATCATCTGATCCACGACCTTCATTGTGTAGAGGGCTCTGAGGTGCAGAAAGGCGAAGGGACTTGCTCGAAGGCAAAGGGGTGGCTCATGACAGAACCAAGAGGAGAGCCCAGGTCTCCTGATTCCCAGACCAGGCCCCTCCCCACAATTCAGGGGACTGGAGAAAGCAGGAGGGAGCCTAGGATGTCGAGACCAACAAGGAGAGTGGAATCACAGATACCACAGGTAGAATCAAGAGACTTGAAGAAATGGCAAAGGAGCACCCCAAACCCTCTGAACTGACATCAATGGAAGGGGCCACCTGGCAGCAGATAAAAGCTGCCAATTACAGCAAGTTCACACAATTAGTAAGAAAAGTAATGATTCAATCTGTTGTTAGCTATATAAATAAAAAAAGTACTGATACAAACTGTAAAGCAAAAAATTACGGGCCGGCCCGGTGGCGCACTGCTATAATGCGCCGCTTGGGAAGCGCGGTGGCGCTCCCGC